AGCTGGGGCTCTTCCCTGGCTCCGGGACTCGGCGTCTGCTGGGAGAGCATCGCCAGGGCGAGGCGTGCAATGTGGGAAAGAGGTTTCCCTTGTGGGGTGGGTGTTTGGGCCTTCTGGCAGAGAAGGGTTGAGAGGAGGCAGCAGGGCAGGGACAGGGAGATTGTGGGGTTAGCCGTCTCTCTCTGAAGATCTGCAGGCACTGTGCGGGGAGGTCCCCTGCTTGCATGGTCCCTGCTTATGTCCCAGCAAGAGGGCCTACATGGGACAGGGGACATCGCAAAGAGGGGGCTCTCAGCACTACTTCATGGCACCTTCTGCTGCCTCCCAGGCAGGGTCTGACCTTCGTCTCGGTCCACGATTGCTACTGGACTCACGCGCTCACTGTGGATGTCATGAACCAGGTAAAAGTGTCCTCCCGGGTCCCTTGTGAGCAGGGATCTTGCTGATCTGTCCTCTGGGCACTCGCCAGCCCTTGCTTCCCCTGGGCTTTGCTCCATAGGCTGATTTATTTAACCAGGCAAGGTGAACCTGGGGTGCTTGCTGGCGATTGCAGCTGATTTCCTGGTGCCGTAGCCCCATCTCCTCCCGCCCTTCAAGGAGGGTGTGCGGGAGAACCTGTGCCTGTAAATTGGCGCTAGACACAGCGCCTAGCAGAGTCAGTGCCTCTGTCTTGCCCTGGGCTCTTTCCCCTGGAGTCCTACAAGGGCTGTTGTGCAGTGGATTGATAAATGGGGGTCAGCCTCTGCTTCCCGCCTCCCCAGGCTGATTCCCTTCACCCTTGTCTGGCAGCCCCCCCTTCCCACTCTTGCCTGCTGCCTTCCCTGCCCCTCACCTCTGACCTGTCTTGGCTGAGAAGCACTGAGGGGAAGGAGGGGAAAACGCCTGTTAACCTGCGACTCACCATTGCTCCCCGGATCAGATCTGTCGGCAGCAATTTGTGGCTCTGCACAGCGAGAAGATCCTGCAGGATCTGTCCAAGTTCATGCTGGAGAAGTACTGCAGGTATTCCTCGCCTGTTGGCGAACCCCCACCGCTCTCCTTCCTGCCCACGCCGATTCCCTCTCCCAGCAGTTGTTGTGCCCAGATGCTCACGGGTTGGGTCATCTGCCTGGGGGTTGCTCTGGAGGGAAGTTGTGCTTCCTTCTTGACCGATGCCCAAATTGCCTCAGACCTCGGTGTGAAAAACAAGGTGTCTGCATCCTTTTGCTGCAGAACTGAAGCAGGGTTTGGTGCTTGAATCCCTCAGTGGGCCTGGGGCGGGCCATAATGTCTGTGCCTTGGTTCCCCGCTGTGAATGAGGCAGTAAGGAGCAGCGAAGACGTGCGTTGGGTTGGCCCAGTGTGTGGCCCTCTGTTGCCACCACAGAGCCAGCCAGATGGCACGGACTGACCCAGTCCTGGGCAGGGTCTGTAGATGCCTCAGCGCCTGCCTAGGGCTGCTGTGGCAGGGACTGGGCTCCCGCTCCTGCTGCAGGGTGTCTCGTGTTTTGGAAGAGGTGAATCCTGTTGTCAGGGGCCTGCACTGGGGAGCAGAGGAGGGTGCGCCTTCTCCCAGAGCTCCCATGTTGATTTGCTTTCTTTCTGGTTCGTCTAGCCCCGGCAGAGAGACTAGAGCCCTCTGGCAGAAGAAACTGATGGAGCAGCTGTCGAATGTCCCCAAGACAGGTAGGAGCACAGGACAGGAACTGCAAAGCTCAGGAGCAGTTTGGAGACAAAGGGAGTGAGATGGGGAGTGGCCCCCGAAGTCACTGAGCCCATGTGGTGTCCGAAGTTGGACATAGTGAGGGTCTGGCCAGCTGTGCTAAAGCTGTGCCCTAAGGTCAGGTTGTCCTGCCTGTGGGGGACAGCAGAGCCATGGGGCAGTGCCTTAAGACGTTCCCCTGTAGCATCTCTGTGAGCGGTCCCTGCCTTCCCCGGAGCTGAGCCCCTGGGATTTTCCCCAGGCTCATCCCGTCCCCGTCTTGTTGTTCCTCTCCCATCTGTTTCCAACCACGAGGTATTTGCCTGGAGATGGGATTGAGGCACTCAGCATGGTAATTGCCAGGATCTAGATGATACACATGCAATGGGATTAAGGCAATTAGTTTAACTCCTCCTAATCTCTGGGCCCTGCCTCTGCCAGACCATCTGGCTAACCTTTGTTCTGCCTTTGCAAAACGGAACAGGCCAGTGCTCCGTTGCTGTTGAGCAGCTGCCGTGGTCAGCCCCAGAGGCAGCACAATCCGTTTGTACTGTGAGGCTGTGCGCTCCTCTCTTCCTTCCCTGCCTTGCTGCTGTTACGCTCTTCTGTCCTGCTCTTCCTACCACTGTCCTAGATAAATTTGGAGGGACATCAGTTCCTGGAAGATGTCTAAGATCCCTGCTGTCGTGACCTACCCTGCAGCAGGGGCTGAGCTGAAGTAGTTTTCTGCAGGAAGCTGAAACAGGGCTCGGAGCAGCTTCTCTCCCAGTTGCCCCATTTCCACCCTGCTCTGACCTGTCCTCTCCCTCGCTTCCCCCAGGCGAATTCAACCTGAAGAAGGTGATGGATTCCACCTATTTCTTCAGCTGAGCCCCGGCAGCCAGCAGGGCCCTGGACTACCTCTGGACTGCCGGCCTGCCTCAGAGGCTGCGGTAGGCACTCGCCTGCGAGGCTCCTCTGTCCTGCCTCTCACGGGGAATGTGGGTACAGCTGCCCAGCAAGAGATACCTGCCCAACACTGGGATGCTGGGGCAAACTGGGGCTCCTCGAGGAGCGCAGGAGCAGCCACGAGGGGCCGGTGGGGGACAGGGTGTCTGCACTGTTTGCTGTTACTGTCTGCTTCCTAGGCAAGGGCAGAGGGCATCGAGCCCTGGGCAAGGCTGCGTCTCTCTGGTGGGGGCTCAGAGGGGTGATGGTAGATGGGGCTGGCTCCCCTCAGTCCTCGCCTTGGCACCATGTGCCTGCCACTGCTGAGACCTCCAGAGCCTGCCTGGCTGGTGCCTGTCCTGGGCTGCCATCCCTCTCCGTCCCTCTCCTCCAGCCGGGCTGGAGGGGCAGGCAGGCGGCTGTGGCTGCAGCAGGAGCCTCCCGCTCTCGGCTGCAGGGTGGGTGCTGCTCTCCATGCCCTGCTCCAGCTGCTGGGCACTGTCACCACTCTCCTGTACCGCAGCCTCTGTGGCTCCTGACTTTCATTTCCAGGGATCGGTTTCAATTCTGCTCGCTGGGTCTCAGGCAGGGAAAACCACTAACACAGGGGTGGAGGTGTACGATACTGTAAATAAAACGTTTTTTGAAATACTAGATGGGAATCGTGTCCTTCTCGGTATTTTTGCTTGAAGTCTGCAGGGTGTCCAGGAGGGGGGACTGATGCCTCCCTAGACTGCCACTGTTTTGCTCCTTGGTTGGGTTTCAGTTATGGACAGGGGTGTCACATTCTGGAAATGCTTTTGTAGCAGAAACAGAGACAAAACTTTCCTTCAGCAGAGACTGGCTGGCGCAGCTGCAGGGGGAGCAGGGCTCTCACCGGGGCTGGCTGCAGCCACTCAGCCCTTGTGTTTCTAGCCAGGAGCTCCTGTCTTACAGACTGGGGCCTTCTGCTGTCTGTGGGGCTGCGTGCTTGTGTCCCGGCTCCTGCAGCAGTTGGTGCTTGGAGATCTTGCAGCTGGAGCTCTGTGTTTGGCCCAGCTCTTGGCTGAGCCCTGCACCTACCGGCTCCAGTTCACAGCCTGCTCCCAGCTCCTTCCCCACTGCAGCTCCGTGGTGTCCAGCTGACGCTGGGCAGGGCAGGACATGGCCCTGCCAGCGAGGGGAAAGGTGGTGGGAGGAGGCTTTTTGCCTTGTCATTTTTCTGGCAAGGAAGCAGCTCTTCAAAGGACAAAGCTGCCTCCTGCAGCCCGGGCTGGGGCTGTGCCCAGTGGCAGGGCTCCCAGGGCTGGGCGAGGGGAGCGGGAGCAGCCGGAGTCACGGCAGGGATGGGTAGTGGCGAAGGAGAACAGAGACGGAGTCGTGCGTAGCTCTGTCAGTTACTGACGTTTATTGCACAGGATGGGCTGGATGGAAAGGTGGATGCTTGGAGCGGGGCCCTGTCCCGCCGGCTGCGCAGCTGCAGGGCGTCGGGCTGGCACGCGGCCCCTCGCTCACGGTCACTGCATACATTCAATGTGGAAGGCTCCAGGGTGGCAGGCGGAGAGGCATACGTGCACACACATGCACGCACACACCCCTGCACACACGTCTGTAGGTGCACACGCACACACAGAGGCACGCTGGTACACGCAGCGTGTGCCTTTCCCAGCCTTAAGGGGGGATTGCCCGTGGGGCAGCCCCAGGGCTTGGGTCCCCAGGCTCTGGCGTCTGCCTCTGTCCTAACGCTGACTAGGAGTGAGTCGGGCCATGTTTACCCCCCAGCCCCGGGGGCAGCGTGTGCGTGGGTGCTCACGAGCCTCAGGGTGACCGTCCCTCAGACCCGCCAACTTACCTGCAGTCCTGGACCGTCACCCCTCGCCTCGGGCCTGCGGGAGGGGAGGCAGGGACACGCGCAGGTGCTGGGGCTGGCCGGCGTGCCTAAAGCCCCAGGGAGGTGTCCTGCAGATGCACACACACACAGGTATGTATTCAGGTCATATATATCATATACAGAGTTGATCGGGGGGGTGATGCAGCTGTGGCTTCTATGGGGCAGCCGGGGAGGCTGGGGGCAGCAGGACTTTGCCGTGGGGAGCGGGAGATGTGGCCAGACTTTGGTCGGAGGCGACGCAGCCAGGGGGCTCAGCCCAGCCCCCCACCGTGCCCCCGCGGTGGGTGGGGGGCACAGAGGCCCCGTGCCCACCCCCGGCAGCTGCCCCACTCTGCAGCGTTGGCGGGAGGAAGCCGGGGAGCGGGGCTGGTGCCGCGGCAGGGGGAGGCAGCCGGCGGGGCGGCCGTGGCCCTCACCCAGCGCTCCTCAGCGGGGTGGCGCAGGATGGGCGCAGGGCGAGACGGGACTCACTGCCGCAGCCCCCTACGGTGCACTTGTCCCTGCGCCCGGCACGGCATGGAGGTCACAAGTTGGAAGACAGCCTGGACTTGGCCGGGTCCGTGTCGGGTGTGCTGGCCGCCGAATCCTTGCGGGCCGCCGCCGAGTCCTGCGGCAGGGGGGGGGGCCCCCCCGCCCCCCAGGCCCCGGGCGCCCGGGGGGGCAGGACTGCAGCGGGGTGGGTGCTGAGCAGCGGCAGGGGGCTGAGCCCCACGCACAACCCCCCGCAGGCCGCGGGGGGGGGCGGGGGGCGGGGGAGGGGGCCCGCGGGCCCCCCACCGATGGAGGCGCAGGACTCACGGGCTGAGGCCGGGGGGCTCTGGGTGCTGCCGGCCGCCAGCCCGTGGGGCAGGGAGGGCTGCGAGGCCGACAGGGGCCGCGAATCCTGGCTGAGGCTGCTGGTGTGCAGCGCCTGTGTGCTTTTGTGGGCAGCCAGGCGCTGGGGCGAGCCGGGCGCCTGCTGCTGGCTGAGGGAGAGCTGGGAGCCCAGCTGCCCCGGGGCGCCTCCATAGGCGAACGTCCGGCTGGCCAGGGGGCTTTGGGATGGCGGGCTGGCCGCTGCCGTGGCGAAGGCGCTGGTGGAGGTGGGCAGGGCTGCGGGCTGCGCCTGGTCCTGTGAGGGCGAGGGGTTGGCGTGGGGCACAGGGGGCTGCGACTGCTGCGGGGGGCTCTGCTGCAGCAAGACGGGGGAGATGGCGAAGGGGCTGGGCACGGCCTGGGCGTACTGCAAGCGGCGCATCATGCGGGGCGAGCCCAGGGCCATGGAGCCCACCAGCGGGCTGGCCATCTGTGGGCAGAAGCTCATGGCGACGGCTTGCTGGAGGGTGGCGATGGCGGAGGTGACCTGGGGCTGGACAGGGCTGTACATGGCCGTGTGCTGCTGCAGCTCCGCCTGCTGCACCATCTCCCGGTCGTACTTGACGATCTCCTGGATGATCTCGTTCTCCTGGTTGTTGAAGACACCTGAGTTGAGGTCGTGCTGCACTTTGTGGAGCAGGATCGAATTCTTCTTCCCTGCAGGGAGGGGGCCGGGATAGGGAGCACTGTGAGACCCTGTGCTGGGGCTACGCTGGCCCTCCCCCCCCAGCCATGGCTGCCCCACGCTGCCAGGACACCCCCCGGCCTCCCCCACAGCCCCCTGTGCCCTACCAATGCGGTCGAGGCGGTCAATGGCCACGGTCTCAAAGGCCCGTCTCATCATGGGGTACTCCTCCAGCACCTCGTTGAAGTTGTCCACCGAGAGCGAGTAGAGGCGGCAGTAGGTGTCTGCCCGGACACTGGCCGTGCGCCGGCCACGGGTCAGCAGGCAGATTTCTACGGGGGATACAATGGTGCCAAAGTCACAACACCACCAGCAAGGACTGGAAATGGGGACAGGCCAGGAGCGAGGGGCGAGAACCATTGAGTGGTGGGTGCCCCGGGACAGCACGGCAGTGCCCCAGGACAGCACGGCTGTCCCGGTGCCTCTCGCAGACCCCAGGAGGGGACCCGGGCTCAGCCCCACCAACACTCACCTCCAAAATAGGACCCATCAGAGAGTTTCATCTCCTTGTTGCCCTTGGTGAGAATGCTGACCACCCCGTGCTGGATGAAGTACATCTTCTTGCCGATGGTGCCCTCGCGGATGATGTAGTCGCCTGGCTGAAACACCTCAAACTTCAGCTTGGTGAGCATCGCTGTGACGAAGTTGGGATCCGCATTGGCAAAGAGCGGCATCGAGGCCACCAGCTTGCGGCAGTTGAAGTTCACGATTTCCTGCAGGGGAAGGAGGTGAGGGAGCAGGAGGCAGGGACATGGCTTCCCCCAAGGCAGGCTCACAAAAACAGGTGTCAGCACACAGACACAGTTGTGCACGGACACACTCACACTTGGAGCTGCAAAGCTGGCGCAAGAGGTGCTCAACCCCATGCACGTACGCTGCAGGAGCCAGTGGGACCCGCAGCCTCCCCTGCAGCAGGGCGCAGGGGGCCCCTGCTGTGGGTGGGGCGGTCGCCGTCCTCACCGCAGCATCCCCAGCCGGCTCTGCAGCCCCCAGGGCCCTTACCTCGCGCAGGGGCTCGTTGAGCTCCCCCAGGATGCTGTCCTCGTCGAACATCTTGCCCTGGTAGCGGTGCTCGTAGTAGTCATGGATCTTCTGGCGAAAGTCGGCAGGCAGCTTGTGGAAGGACATGTACTGCTCCACCTGCTTGTACTGTGGGGAGAGGCAGCGTCAGCGTCCAGAGGGGCTGGGGCTGCGGGGCCAGGACCCCCCCCCCACCTCCCCGCTCCATGGGGTGGGTACTGGGCCCCTCCTGGCTGGCAGATCCCCCTCACCGCTCTGTCCCTGCCCTGGGGATGGTATCGATACAGAACCCTCGCCCCGCCTGGCTGCACCCGCAGGCGCCGCTGCGGCTCCAGGAGGGGATGCGACGGCCAGGTGCAGGACAGGAACCATGGCCCCCATCCAGCCCAGTCCTACCTTCTCCTGGTACTGGCGCCGGGAGGAGTCCAGAGACTGGATGAGGGCGGTGGCATGGCCGATGAACATGGCGTAGCAGGTGGCCCCCACAATCATGCTCAGCATCGTCAGCCAGATGTCCGTCATGCTCTCGGGTGCCTGCTTCCCATAGCCGATGCAGAGCATGTGGCTCATTGACTTGAAGAGGGCAAAGGAGTACAGCTCGCTCCAGGAGTCGTTCTGCAGCGACAGGGACGGTGGCGGCGCTCAGCCCGCGCTGGTGCACAGCTGCTTGCACATGTGTGTGCATGGGCACACATGCATACAACGCTCTGACTCAGGCCTGGCAGACGATCCAGGTTCTCTGCCTGCATCTCCCAACAGCGCTCAGCAATGGCATTTCTTTTCTTTGTTTGGTTGGTTTTGACGGTCTCACCTTGCAGGTGAGATACGAACAAACCCAAACCCCAGGCACGGCCTGGGCTGCGGCCATCCCACAGCCCTCCGCTCCTTCCCGGCGGGTTTCCGCACCTCACCGCCCGCCTGGCTTCACTTTAGGACTTTAGGTAGCCAGTCTTTTTTTTTTTTTTTTTTTTTTAAGCTGATATACAAAAGCGCAGCATGCTCCTGTGAAATGCTGTGATGGGAACAAGCTCTGAGTTTGTGGAAGCCACTGAGTTATCGCACCACTCGTGCTTGGGAGCCTGCGGACCTGGCTGGGGCAGCAGGCAGCTGCAGGCAGGGATGGGCTGGTGGCTCCTAGGGCAGGAATCCCCCAGCCCAGGCTCACGCGAAGCCCCGGGTCCCCCCCAGGAGCGAAGCAGCCGGGGAAGGAGAGGCGTGAGATGGGAAGGAGAGGCCAGGGATGAAGCCAGGTGGGGGAACAGAGCAGAGATGGAAACACCGGCAGAACAGGACGAGACGGACAGAGGGTGAAGAGCCATTTGTAGCAGGCTGCAGGGCTGAGAGGGAGCAATTAGAAACGTGGCCCATTATTTATTAATAGCAGCTTTGTTGCTAATTAGCAGGAGGAGGCAGCAGGGGATGGGGCAGAGCGCTGTGTCAGCATCTCCCTCCCGCCCGGATCGATCCGCTGCCCCGAGTCCTGTGAGACCGCAGCAGGCGCGGGGTGCCCTGCGCACCCTCTGCGCTCGCTCTGTCGGGGCACCGCGGCACCGGCCGGCGCGGGGATGGCATCTTCTGGGGTCAGCGGAGAGAGGCCAGGCGACACAGGGATGGACGGGGGCCTGGGGGGAGCAGGGCAGGGAGCGCGACGGGGTTGGGGTAGGGGCCGGCACTCACCACCATCCCGTTGATGGAGACCCAGCAGTTCTGGGGGAAATCCTGCAGCATGGGCACAAGGAACTGGAGGCAGCCGTCCCAGTGGCAGAGCAGCAGCATCATGCCGATGAGGTTGATGATCCTCATCACCGCGCTGGCCAGGTCATAGGTCATGTGGAAGATCTGCGGGTGGAGGGGCCGGGGTGGGATGGCAGAGGGTGAGCGCAGGGACCGTCCCCCCACTGCCCGGCCCCGCTTAGGCCACCGACCCACACGGCCTCAGCTGAAATAGGCACTCGCGGCTGGCCCGACCCCAGCCCTCCCCCTGCCTATTTATGGCCAGCGGGATGCCGCCACGCTGCCGCCCTCGAAAGCACTAATGGCTGCGAGCTTTGATGAGGATAAGCCAGCGCTGGTGGATGCCCAGGCGGAGCCAAGTACTCCGGGTGCTGGGGAGAGAGCGGGGCAGCCCCCAGGGCAGCCGGCGCGGGGGGCCGGGCTCAGCCACGGGGCGGCTTTCGGTAAAGAGAGTCCGAGGTGCCCACGTCAGGGTGGGGCTGAAGGGAGACCCCGATCTGGGGCGAGTGGCCAGGGCAGCTCCTCTGCTCTGCTGGAGATCCCACCCTGATGGGGACGCGCCTGCGTCCCCCTCCCAGGGCCGGTGGCTGTAGGAGCATCAAATGCTGAGACCCGTCAGCGACACCCTGGGAGAGCCCCCAGCCCGGGGTGGGTGTGGGAGGGAGCCGTGACCGTGGGGACCCACCACGGTGCTCCCAGGCCAGAGCCCTGGCCGTGGAGGGATGTGCGAAGGGCATGCCTCCAGGAGCGGCTGCTCAGTGCTCCGAGCGCACCCCTCGCTCCCAGCACCAGCCCGCAGCTCCCGTGAGAGCAGGGCTTCCCCCTGGCCGCATCCCCAGTCCCAGCCTGGCCTTAGCACCTCTCGCCCCAGGGCACCCGCACAGGCAAACTCAGGGGGTAGAGACGTGTGCTCCTGGTTGCAAACTGAGCCATGGGCTGAGGACTTGCTCCTTTTCCTTTAATATTTTTAGGGTCCAGAAAAGGTGAATTCAAGGAGGGAAAAAAGAAAGACAATGAGAAATTAAATCCCCAGCAGTGACATCCCCAGTCTCCCCCCGCTGCAGATCCAAGGCTGGAGCCCTACAGCATCACATGGAGAAGCCGCACGGCGAGGGCAAGGGCAAGGGCAAGGGCATGGCATCCCCTTTTTCCTCTGTGCCCAGCCCTGGGCTCTCAGGCTGCCTGCCCAGGGAGGGCACGGCAGAGCTGGTGTGGTGCGATGGGAAGCGCAAGGGGCTTGGGAAGGGGCAGCCTGGGGCGAGGACAGGCAGGAGCAGCCCCAGCCCCATCTCTGCCAGCCCCTTCGCCCCTCCGGCCAGCGGCAATTGCCCCCCGGGGCAGCCCCTCGCTTCCCCTCTCCCTGCCACCACCGAGGCTGCTGGGGGCAAAATCAGGCGCATGGAGATGCTCCTGCAGCATCCGCCAGCCCCGACCGCGGCGCCTCCGAGAGCACCTGCACAGCCTCAGCCAGCAGAGCTGCCGCGAGGCGCCAGCCCACGCACCGGAGCCACGTGGCAAAGCCGAGCACGCCGCATCCCGACACAAAGGCACGTCGCCTCACAGCCCACGCAGCCCTGGATGCGCCAAGCCCGGGCAGCACCCTGCCTCCTGCCCGGGGGACCCAGGGGTCCTGCCGCCCCCGAGGCGCTGGGGCTCCTGCAGGCCCCCCCAGTGCTCCCTGAGGTCCTGGTGGAGCAGGGAGCCCGAGGGGACCGGAGGCGAGGAGTGTTGCCTGTCTGCCCTGGCATGCAGGGAGCTGAGCAGGGGGACGTGGTCGAGCTGCCAGGGCGGCACGCCTGCTTGTGCTGGCCATGCTGTCACCCGTGGGTGGTGCTGTACCACGGCACCAGGACCAGCTGCGCAAACCCCAGCACCCGGGTGCGCACACACACAGGGCACGGCTCGGCTGCGGCGCTCAGCGGGCCCCGAGGAGCCAGAGGGACTGCCTTTGCGCGGAAGCAGACCAGGAGTGCTCTCATGTCCCAGAGCAGAGGGGAAGGTGGGGGATGCCCAGGGATGTCCGGAGCCTCCCCCTTCCAGGGAGGGTCACAGTTGCCCACTGGCCCCACACACAGCCCCGCAGACCCCATCCAACCCGCCAGCTCCTCGGGCAGCCCCGAGCTCCACCGCCCTTGCAGGGGCCCCTCCTGGCTCCCGCTCCCTTGGGCTGGTCCTGCCGCTGCCGGAGGAGGGACCCACTGCCAGGCTGCGTCCCCAGGACCCCTACCTCCTCCCACTGGTGGATGTAGCGGATGAGCCGGGATAGGCGGAGGAGCCGCAGGAGGCTGAGGATCTTGGTGAAGCGGACGATGCGGAGGGCACGGGCTGTCTTGTACACCTCCGAGTCTATGCCCTTCTCCACAATGAGGAAGACGTAGTCCACGGGGATGGAGGAGACAAAGTCCACCACAAACCAGGTCTTGAGGTACTTCTTCTTGATCCTCTCGGGGTCCAGGATGATTTCCGTGTTGTCCTCAATCACAATCCCCGTCCGGAAGTTCAGCACCAGGTCCATCAGGAAGAAGGTGTCGGAGACCACGTTGAACACGATCCAGGGCGCCGTGGTCTCCTCCTTGAAGAAGGTGATGCCCACGGGAATGATGATCAGGTTGCCCACCATGAAGAGCAGCATCGTGAAGTCCCAGTAAAACCTGGGGAGCGAGAGGAGGGAGGAGGGTGTCACCAGTGCCCTGCAGCCACCCCTGCATCGAGGGGACCCAGCCATCGCGCCCCGCCCTAAGGGACCCGTGCTACCGGCTGCTGCCCCTCTGATGCCACCACGGCCACAGGCACCCCTCTGCTCTCCCCAGGGGCCACATCCTGCTCCCCCCCCACTCCAAACTGCCCCCAGGCCTGATCCTGCAGGCCAGCACAGTCCCACTGGGTGAGGTAGGGCTGTGCAGAGGGGGGTGCAGGATGAGGCTGGGGGCTGTCCGCTAGAGAGGGCTCTTCCTGCCGTGCTGGTTGGGCCGGAGGGCTGCCCTGAGCACCAAACCCAGGCAGGGCCCGGGGCGAGGGGAGAACGATGAGGCAGGCGCCAGACCTGGGGGAGACCCTGGGGCAGCCTGCGGGCTGGGGACCACCCACATCCCCAAACCACCCGATGCGGCGGGGCCATCGCCCCCGCAGGCACGCAGAGGCAGGATGGGGGAGCCCGGCGCCCCCCCTGCTGCCCCGGGAGCAGCCCCCACCCCTCCCCGCTCCCAGAGGGGGGACCGAGGACAGGGAACAGCGTTCCCGGGGACAGCCAGGGCCATCCCACCCCAGCGCCTGCCCGGACCGGGCTGTGGTCCTGCTTTAGGGGGTGCGCAGACGGGGGTTTCATGTCCCACCCCAGCAATGCAGCCGCAGCCCCCGGTGCAGCAGATCACGTACGGCTGCAGCTGGCGCCGGCATCACCCGCAGCCCCGGTGAGACGGCGGAGGGGCGGGCGGCCCACCGCCTCCACCCTCTCCTGCCTCACCCGTCCCTCTCTCCTTTCTCCTTGTCACCATCTTCTGGGCCACCGACGACCTTTCCGAGCGCCTGCAAGGTCACAGCAGCCCCGTCCCGGCAGGATGGTGCAGAGGGAACCCCGGCCCCTCGCTCCCCACCTGCCCCACGCCCCGGTGCTCGCCTGGGGGGACAGGAGGGGAGATACCCCCCCGGTGCCATGCACACGGACACGCAGGACCCTTGCCCACGCCTCTCGGCTCAGCCCACCCTGCCCGCCCTGGGCAGGACCCCGGGAGCTGCAGGATGATGGGCAGGGCCCCGCTGTGCCCTGGCCACGCTGCAGGGGACGGGGGGATGAGGGGGGGCCCTCCCGCACACAGGAACGGGAAACGGGCTGGATCCACCCCCCCGTACAGATTAGCACAGGACCAGAAGGAGCCGAGCATCCCAGCTCCTGACCTTTCTCCAATGACACCTTCCCCATGTGAGATGTTGCCGTGGCAACCGTGAGTGATGTCACTGCTGCACAACGATGACTTCACACCCAGGGCCATCTCCAGGGTACCCTCGTCAGCTGCCAGCCGGGAGGAGCAGGCTGTGCTCCCCCCGTACCCCCACGGACGAGCTCTGGCCGCCGGCACCGAGCAGCTCCAGTGCCCTGCGACCCCCCCAGGCAGCGAGGCCATGGCTGTGGTGGGCCCTGCCGGACCCCCCGGGCTCCAGCCGCACGGCATGACTCCCCAGAGACGCCGGCATCGGCAGAGCCGCTGCTGGGGCCGGGGCAGCCCATGGTGGCGGCACCGGGCTCTATCTGTCCTGCAAACCCCCTGGCAGCTCACACTGCAAACTGACCCTGCTGCACAAAGCGAGTCCCATGGGGGCATTAGCCATGCAAAGCTGTGAAGAACAAAGATTAAATAACCACGCCAGCTGGGCAAAACTCTTCCGGCTCAAACCCCTTTGCAATCTGGCTGAGCCAGGGCAGAATTCGGCCTGCTGAGAAAGATAAACTGCTCCTGCTCCCCCCCAACACACGCGACTGACTCTGTGCGATCTCTTCGGGGACCTGGGTGCAACGCCAACGCTTTCTTCCTCGGAGGGCAGTGTGTGCATAGGAAAAAAGATCCAATCCAGGCTACTAAAAATACCTGAAAACAAATTAATTAGGATCCTCAGCACCCCCTCCCTTGCTCCTGACCCAATTGAACGACAGCGATGGTGACAGAAGATGACGAAAGCCTCTGCGAGCAGGGGCTGCTGCGTTCCTCCTCCATCGTCTGCCCAAAGCCTGGCACAGCGGTGCTGCCCCGCAGATCCTGGCCAGGAGCCGAATCGGAGCCGAGCCTCCACACTGCCCCGCAGCAACTCCCAGGGGCCCTACCACGCTCCTGCCCCCAAGACCCCAGAGCACATCCCTCCACAGAGCTGCCACCGCCCCGACATCTCCACAACCCCGACGGAGACCCCGAGGCCGCAGAGGCTCAGGGCAATCCCAACCGCCGCACCAGCAAAGCCTCCCCGTCCGCCTGCTGTTAGTGCCTGGGAGGGGGCCAGAAGAAGCCCCCCGAGCCATCCAGGGGACACGGCCGCAGGACACCAGGGACGCTGCCGCTCAGCTCCACTGCCAGCACACAAGCTCCAGGGTGCTGCCGGGGATGATCCAGCCGCCTCAGCAAGCTCAGTGCAACACATCGCTACCCTCCGTGGTGATCCCATCAACCGGGCACTGAGCTGCCTGGGTGGACAAAGCTCCCCGAGCCCCCGCTCTGCAGGAGGTGCCCCTCGGGCTGAGCCCCTCGGCCCGGACTGGGGCCCTGGCTGCAAAGAGCCAGGCTGCCCGGCGGGCGGGAGCAGCACGGGATCGGTGCAGGAGCAGCGCAGGATCGGTGTGGGATCGGCGCTTCGCAAACTCACACTAAATACTCATATTCTAAAAATGAGGTCACTCTTAGAAGTGGGTTAAGAAGCCAATGGCAGAAGTTTGCCCAAGCTGAGTGAGCAGTGAGGTACAGCGCCCTATGCACCATCTGTGCTCCTGCGTCCCAGTACAACCAGTTGTGACGAATGACTGGTGCTGCTCTCCCCTGGAAAAGCCTTTTACCCTGGGGGTCCCTGGGGAAGGGAGGGGGGATAAAGGCTTTGCAAACTGCTCAAGGACCCCAACCTTCACAATTCCCCCAGGGAGTCGGTCACAGCCTTTCTTCCCTGATGACCCAGCGGTGGCTCTCAGCACCCCCAGGTCCAACTGCCCCATGCTGAGGCTGCAGCGGGGGAGAGCAGCTCCCTGACACCTTCACCAGAGGGAACGGTAACACTGGGACCAGCAGCAGGTCGCAGCGCTGGCATGCACATTTGGAGCGACAGCAGCTGGCGAGCCTGGTCCCTCTGCTTAGGAGCCCCGACAGTGGCACCGACAGGTCGGTGGCACCATCCAGGCAGCAGCAAAGCCCCAGAAACCATTCTAAGCCCAGAAGACGACGACTCCGGCCAAGGAGCACCAGGGACACATGCTCTGGATGCGGCTTTGCCCCCAAATCAGGTGCGGGAGCAGCTCTTGCAACAGAAATTCACCAGCAGTGAAAACCCACAGCTCAGTCCCACGCCTCATGGAAGGCTGCGAGCGCGGGGCTGGCGGGAGGGGACGCCGGCGTAGCCGCATCAGGCGGCCCCGCGGTGGTCATGGGAAGCAGGCACCGCCACCACCACTGAATCACCAGCTGCATGCAGCTCGCAGCATTACTGCTGCATCCAGCAAGGCGTCTGGGCTAAATTCTCCACCCAGGCTTATGCAAGCCTCTCACCGCACAAGAAGGGGAAGGGATCCACCATGGAGCTGGAGCACCCGCTCCCCAGTGCCCAGGCTCCTGCGCCCCAGGAAGCACCCGCTCCCCCAGGCATGCCACCGGCCTCCTCGGCCCTGGCCCCACGTACACCTCTGCCCCCGAGGCCTCGCAGCACCCCCGGGCCCGTGCATGCCCCTGCCCGGCTCCCGGGTGCACACAGGGTGTAAAGATGGGAGCCAGAGCAGCAACGTGCCCAGGTCACTGCGAAACAAGGGCTGGATGCGGCCCCTCGGCTCCCAGTCCCGCTCCAAGAGCGATACCTCAGTTGCAGAAACACCAACAGAAATAATGAAAAAGTCGATCCTAGCCAGGTTTTTTCCTCCCATCGATAAAGACCAGAAGCGGCGAAGACAGAGAAGACAACTGAGCACCCCACCCAAAAGGAGGTGGCTCTGCTTGACACTGTCTACTTCAGCGCACAATTTACAAGGTCTCTTTTATCAGATTTGCAGCTCATGATCTCAACCAGCCACCCAGGCTGCTTCCTAATAATTCAATATTTATGTAAATAGCAACTTCCATTCCTGGAGCAAGTCTGCCCCTGAATTTTGCATGAATAGTTGCAGCGCCGTGTCCATGAGGAGACAGGATCTCTAAATGACTCCGATTATGAAATGATGTCACATATGCAGATGGGTAATGATTTTATCTTAAGATGGGAAAATGGGCTTTGCGGGGCAAACATGGCTGGGTTCATGCTCCATTATCATTACTAGATAAACATAATTTTTTTTTTTTTTTTTAAGGCAGGACAATGTGGAATAGATGGAGACATGTCCTCAACGTGCACAAGCAGAGCTGGCTCCTCACGACCGGGCTTTCAGCCCTGCGTTGGGCCGATCCTGTTTATGTGCACGTTTGTAGACCCAGCCGATGCCGTGGCTCTGCCTGCAGCTCCTCCTCGCTGGGCAGGGAACTCTCCTACGCCACTTGCAGCATCAAAACACAGGCAGCGGCTCTTCCCCAATGGGTTTCAAGACTTGATAGCGACTCCGGGAGGGATGGAGCCAGCGCAGGGCAGGCCACCCAGGGTGACTCTCCAAGGTCACCCCAGCATGGACTGGTGCCTGCCCGCCCGCCGCTAGCGCCAGCCCAGGGAGCGACGCTGCTGCGCCCCGGGGAACCCTCCGAGGCCTCGCTCCTGCCGTGGGCTCACCGCAGGGAGACCCTGCTCTCGGCAGCACCGCAGGCTCTGCCACTGGGACCGCGGCTCTGCTGGCTCGGAGTCGGCCGCAGGAGCGGGGCGGGTTCTGGCCCTGTACAGTCGTGGTGGGGGACAGCGGGGCCAGGCCATTGCCCTGATCCCAGCCTCCCCCTACAGCCCGCAGCTGCTGAGGGCGAAGCGGAGCACGGGCAGCATGGAGGGGCAGAGTCCCCCGGCTCACCAGCCCCCGGGTGCCGGGGATCCACCTGGCACCGCCACACCTGCCCGGTCACGGCAGGGGTGGCAGAGCTCCCTCCGCCACAGGACCAGCAATGGCCAGGTGGTGCAGCCGCTCCTCATCCTGGCTCTGCAGCAGAGCTGGTACGCGGCTGGCGAGCCAAGGAGGGGGCTCCGATGGATACCTTCAGCAGGTTCCCAATGGGAACATCTGCTGCAAGGGTGCAAGACCCCTGTGTGGGAGGTCAGCCCCGAGAGGAGGCTGAGGGCCTCCATCTGCTCCTCTGGAAGATGCCAGGAGAAGCGCACGAGAGCGGGAACAGGAGGTGCAAGCACTGGTCCCTGCTCCGAGCCCGCCTGGCAGGGCAGACCCCACCGCCCACGGCCGCCTCCACCTGCCCCGGGGACCCCTGCGCCAGTGGGGACCCATCAGCACCAGCGGTGAACAGAGCCCAGGGTCTGGCTTGGTGGCATCCCTCACACCGGCACCGGCTCCCTCCAGCCTCCCCAAACCATGCACCAGAACAGCAGCAGAATGACTCAGAGCGGAGCCCCTCGCTCCCCCCAGCCCCTTCGAGGTCGCTGGACCAGGGGCCCCTGATGGCTGGCTTGCCAGCAAGGTCTCGGCCACCCATCCCTGCGAGGTGGCGTGCCGCCTGCCCCAGCCGGTCGAGCAGCACATCCCTCTGGTAGCCTGCACACGACCCAGGAAGCATCTGCCACTTCTGAGCTCCCCGGGGGCTGAAGGGCTGGAGAGGAGAGGGAGCTGCAGCCTCTCTCCCCGGGTTTGCCATTGCTCAGATGGAAGCCACACGGGCTGGGTCTTGAGGGCTCTGGTCCTCTTGGGAGCGAGATGAATCCCTCCTCAAAATCCCTGAATCTCAGGCCTCCTTGGGGGAGGGGGAAGCCTTTGCAAGGAGAGAGCAGCGCGTCCTCCAGCCCAGACCCCCGGCCCCGAGGGGAGGGGGACGCCTTCCCCCGGGGCGGTTCGGGGGCAGAGCCGAAGCCCGGTGGGGCTCCAGAAGGTCCGTGCCGGGCCGAGCCGCCTGAGGCCCCGGGAAGGACGAGGGGATGCCCTTGCCCGGGCACCCCCCGTCGAAGCAGCGGGCTCTTGGCATCCCCGGGCCGACTGCTGCTCCGCTGGGGAGGGGGCCGCCCAGCCGCCAGCCCCTCCCCGCACACAGGCCAGCAGCATCCGCGCTGCCACCTCCAGCACAGCTCAAGGTGCCCTCTCCCAGGGCACGGCACGGCCTCCCCCTCCCCGGCCGGCGGGGCCGGCCCCGGGCTCCGCTCGCCCCCCGTCCCCACCCGCGGTCCCCAGGCTGGGATGCAGCGGCCCGGCCCGGCGCTCCGTCCCCGGGGGATCGCGGACCCTGCGGGGTCCCGGGCGCCGCGCTCGCCCCCCGCCCGGCCGGGCGCGCACCTGAAGTCGCC